ATAAAGAAAAGAGGTAGAGGAAGGCATTTATTGCACATTCTTTCAACCAACTCAGTCAGCTATGAGGCAGAAAAAGTCTGATCTAGAAAAACATCAAAGTTGGTGCTTCATACCTGACTGAGCTGGTCAAAGCTACATGTAGTGAATCAACAGTTACCTTTGGAGAGGGAATGGAAATGGAGAGAAAGTAATTTTTCACTTTTATTTGATAGGCTTTTGTATTTTATTTTTAGCATGAATAATATATTCATTATATCTGTATTTTTTTGAAAATTAGACTAGATATTGCAAGAAATTGTTTACCAATAGGAGGTGAAGCGAAGGCTTGCCAAGCTACACAAGAGTGAGTGGCACATCTCAGTCACTCAGTATGTTTATGGAATTTGTTGAATTGAAGTTATAAGCACAAATTGTAGAGGAAGCCATTGTTTTGATTTCTCAGCTTTCTCCAACAGAAAAGAACAGAAAATTCTGACAGTGTGGTTTATCCAAAGACTTAAGGATTGACAAGGCAAGAATGACAAAGGTGCGAAGGAATTAAGTATGCTATTAGGAGTTTTTGAAATGACTAACCATTTTCTCCAAAATGAGTAGTGAAGTAAGTGAGGCCAAAAGATAGGCCTGTAGACTTTGAAAATGGGAGAGAGACTAGGAAAAATAGTTATAACGAGAATAAAGAGAAAAATCAATGGGAGAAACATGGAAGGATAGAACACTGTACACAGGAAATGTAGGTCCTAGAAGTGAACAATTTCAAGTGCTTTCTTACCAGACCCGAAAGGATTATGCCTAGGGATAACTAAAGCAGAGTTTGGGTGGGCATCCCTGTTCAAAAAGTGAAGAAACTGTGATGTCATTGAATTAGAAGGGTCAGGTCTCCCTTATTCAATACAGTAAGCCCCACTTCCCAACCTAGTGCCTGGTATATAGTAGGCATTCAGGAAGGGAGGGAGGGAGGGAGGAAGGAGAAAAGAGTGAATAACACTTATCACAATTATTTGTTTTTCTGTCTTCTTCCCCTACTGGATCATAAGCTCTTTGGGTCTTATTTCTGTTTCTCTATGCCTAGCATAGGGAAGAGTAGGTGCTTGAATCAAGATTTTAGTGAGTGATGGCCGTAAAAAAGAGAAGGAAATCTTACTTTTTGGGACAGCATGGATGGACCTGGAGAGCATTATGCTAAATGAAATAAGCCAGTCAGAGAAAGACAAGTACCACATAATCTCACTTATATGTGAAATCTAAGGAACAAAATAAACTAACAAACAAGATAGAAACAGCCTCAGATACAGAGAACAGAATGACAGCTGTCAGTGGGGAGGTGTATTCGGGGGCTGGGTGACAAAGATGAAGGGGTTAAGCAAAAAAAACAACCTCATAGACAGAGACAACAGCATGGTGATTACCAGAGGAAAAGGGGGGTGGGGAGGTAGGAGAGGATAAAGGGAGGACTTGACTTGGGGTGGTGAACACACAGTACAATATATACATGATGTACTATAGAATTGTACACCTGAAACCTATATAATTTTATTAACCAATGCTGCCCCAATCATTTTAATAAAAAAAATAAAGACAATGCAGGAGCATAAAGGTTTTAGTGAGTGAATGGATGTTGAACTGTAGAGAATGATGAAAAGGAAAGAGAGAGAGACAGAAAGATTGTGAACCAGGTGTTAAAATCCTCAGGGGAGGTAGAAGAGTACATTATAGGTGTACAGATAAGAAATTTCATAATATTTGAGGAGTGTAAGCAAGTGACATTGACTTCAAAAAAGGAGCAATTGATGACAAGTAGGAATATTGGATTTGGAAGTAGCAATAAGGAAAAGGAATATTTTAATTTCTCTTTCCTCTTCCTATAAATTCAGGAGAAATGAGCACAATGTGTTTTCTCCTTTGACACACCCCTCCCCCAATCTGTCACCTAGCTTTCTCAGTTTTGTCCTCAATTTGTCTTACCTTGCTTTCTGTCACTCTTGTGCCTAGAATACTTCAATGCCCCCCTTTTTTTTATCCTCACCCGAGGACATTTTTCCTTTTTTTTTTTTTTCAGATAGAGTGGGAGGGAGAGAGAGAGAGAGAAAGAGAGAGAGAGAGAGAGAGAGAGAGAGAGGTGAAAGGAACACATCATGTGGCTGCCACCCGCATGGCCAACCAGGGCTGGGGACAAACTGCCACCGAGGTACGCGCCCTCAGTGGGAACCGAACCCGGGTCTCTCTGGACAGCAGGCCTACGCTCTAACCGCTGAGCCAAACCGGCCAGGGCTTCAATGCCCTTTTTTGCTAATCCCTCTGTCTCCAGCTTTTCTCTCTTTAGCCTTATATGCAACAGCAAAAGTCAAATTTCCTAAACATTTTCAGCAACATCAGTACTTATACTTTTCCAGTGGCTCCTATTTGGCAGTCAAACCAAATGAAAACTTCTAGTCTTGAATTTAAGAGTGTCCACCATCTAGCTCTTTGTAAGCTGTCCTCATTTCCAGTTGCTTTGATAGTTATACTGTATACAAAATACCCTACTTTTTTCAAAGGTTCTAATTACTCTTTTGTCATTTACTTTTCACCAGTTTACATGTACTGATTGTGTGTGTGTGTGTCTATGTGGCTTTGCATAACCACAACTACTTCCACAATCAAGATACAGAACTGTACCATCACCACAAGGCTTTCTCATGCAACCACACCCAACCCCTGGCAACCAGTAATCTGTTCTCCATCCCTCCAATTATTATTTCACAAATGGTATGTAAGTGGAATCATGCAGTATCGATTTGGGGATTGGCCTTGTTCACCCAGCATAATTCCCTTGAGATCCATCCAAGTTCTTTGACATGTATCAGTAGTTCGTTTCTTTTTATTGATAAACAATATTCCAATGCTATAGATGTACCACAGTTTAACTATTCACTTGTTGAAGTATATCTGAGTTGTTTCAAGTTTGGATTGTTACAAGTAAAGCTACTATGACCATTTATGTACAAGTTCCTATATGAAAATTAGTCTTAATTTCTCTTGAATAAATGCCCAAGAATGCAATGGCTGGGTCTTGTGGTAAGTCTCCTTTTAGTTTTGATGGGAACAGCCGAAGCATTTTCCAGAGTGGCTATATCATTTTACGTTCCCACCCACAAGATATATGTGATATCATTTTCTCCACATCCTCACCAGCAATTGTTATTACTGTTTTTCATTTTAGCCATTTTGGTAGATGGCTCATTGTAGTTTTCCTCCTCTTTTAAGACCTAAGTCAAGAGGTACTCCTGTAGAGCCTTTCCTAACATCATCTGGAAACGCTAATTATTCTCTCTTCTATGCCATCTCTGATACTTCATTTATCATTGTATTTTAATTATTTATTGACATAGACTGAGTCTTCCCCTCTGTTCTGAGCCCCTTGAAGATAAGAACTGTGCCATATTCATCTTTGTTCATGCAACATCTGGTATAGTTATATGCTGTACACACAGAGGGCACTCAGTTAATGTGTGCCAAGTGAAGGGAAAACTGAATGAGAAAACATCAGTCTTTCTTACCTCCCCCACTCCACAGTACACTATAAACCTTTTTAGAACAGAGATCATTCCTTCCACTCTGTCTCCCAACAGCAGCTCTGTACATGTAGATGCTCAATAAATGTTGGCCAACTATTCAGGTGGCTTATCATTTCTCTGCACCCAGGAGATAAGCACATGAAAGAGAGGATAGGCCTGAGTATTCCTGCATTGAGTATCATAGGTCATAAGTTTTATAATATTCTTATAATCTCCACAATCACTCAATATTTGTCTGCACAGATGAGAAATCAAAACAAAACAGTCCTTTGACTCAAAGAATGTCTCTGCAGCTGAGCACTTTTCAATAGTTTCAGTGCCCTTGTTACATATGAATTTGAGAGATCGGCATTTTACATCCCTGAATTCTTTTTGCAGTTTCAGAAGGATCTGGGATTTTTCTGTTTTTGCTGCACTGGTATAATTTGACATGTTGACTATGAAGGGGTATTAACCCCAGCATTTTAATCACTTTTTGACTCTGCTTTTTCTCAACTCTGAAGTATGTTAATTTGCACATGTTTATATGTCTCTGTGAGAGTTACTCAGGCCCTTGAGTACTGGTATATGTTTTGTCTGGGAACTAGATTGTAAGCCCCTTGAGAGCAGGGACCTTATAACTCCTAGGAATGCATTCTGGACATTGTCAGTGTTCAATTAATGAGAAGACTGGAAACCTGACGAAGGTCATCTGTCACATTGACAACTTCCTTTTCACTTTAAAGGCTTCTAACTTTATAAAAAGCTGTTAGGTTGATTTGATAGCATTGAATGATTCTACCCAAATTATGCTCATTCCTACCCACTACAATTTGTTCTTTAGGTTGGTTTCAGATTTATAATTTGGGATCAGTTGTTGCTGTTCCCTTCCCTATAATACTCTGGTTACAGAAGAACTGGGGAGGGCTGCATTTCATGCCCACAATTCCTTTAGCATAATAAAGAGTAAGCTGATAGTGTTTATGCTTGCAAAGCATATAATTCTCTTCACCAGCCCCCAGTGATAACTAGGTGATAAACTCAAAGTATGTTGACAGTTTTAATTATCAGAAATAATCCTTAATAACTAGTCAATATATATGTCGTATTTTCCCATATTGGAAAGTGGAGTAAATATGTCCATTGTGTACTATGGCTGTTGAAGCTGAGTTAATATGAAAGTTTCTAGTAAGTCTGCATTCTAAAGCTCAGGATAGATTTGCTCCTTGGTGAGGGTGGAGGTGGGTATCACTTTTGTGTAAATGAACTTATTGAGGTATAATTTATACACAGTCTGATTACACCCTTTTTAGATGGAAACTTTGATGAGTTTGACAAATTGGATTTTTTTCCCTTCACTATTTCCTGATTCAACTATACCTCCCACTGGCTCCACCACCATCACCATCCCTAGAGCAAACTGAGCTGTCATTTTCTGACATTTTGTATTTTTTCTCTTTCCTACAGTGTACTAAAGGAGGTATACATAGCCTTTAATCCCAAAGCGGTGGTCTTACAGCTGGGAGCGGATACAATAGCTGGGGATCCCATGTGCTCCTTTAACATGACTCCTGTCGGAATTGGCAGATGTCTTAAGTACGTCCTTCAGTGGCAATTGGCAACGCTCATTTTGGGAGGAGGTGAGTACAAAAGGAGGTCACCAGGAGAATTTGTTGACCTTCCTATACACTTTATTTATTGACACTGAGGAAACTTGACTTCCTTAGATTAGATAATATCAACCTACCTGTGGTCCAGAAGCCCGAGTCAATTCAGCACAAGGAAATGCTCTGTCTCTCTGCTCGGTTTGGTGTGTGCAGACTCCTTGGCAGTCTGAAATGAAATGTTCAGTTCTTGAAGCAAAGGTCTTTGGGTTACGAGTAACACCAGATCTTCTTAAGAATAGAGAATGTTGACAGTGGACTTGGATCCATCTTCTCTCAGTATAGTCTTTGATTCTCAGTTCTAATAATGATCTTATAGAAACATGCCACTAAAATTCTAACTCTACTCAAATATATGTAGTAAACACATGAATGCATTAAACCTAAGCTGAAATCAGGAATGACTTCTGCCCCCCACCTCCCCTTAAAAAGTGTGGCTTTGTTACTAAAAGTAAAATTGAGAGATCTAAAGAATCTTTGGACATTCTTGCCCTCAGTATGTACTGATGTTTTGTGTTACTTAACCAACAGAAAACTGAATTGGTGCAATAGAAGCATTTACACATCTGTGAAAGGCACCTTTCACAACTTCAGCTACCTTGAAGATGCCTTGCTTAGAATCTTCTCTCTGTCTGGCACAATCTTTATTTTATTGGATGAATGCATCGATGTGTTCAAGTAACATGGTCAAGTTAGATTGAGCTTTAAATGTATGTATTATGGAACAGCTAATAGTTTATTATTCTGTCAACCTGTTGTAAAAAAAAAAATTAGAGGAGATCGTGGGAAGGCCTTATGAACATGAGTGAGCATTCACTAAAAATGCACAAGCCTGGCCCTTTGGCAGCCTCAACCCCTAGAGGGATCAAAATTAAAGGTGCTTACAAGAAACAACCTCTTATAAAAAGCCAGAAAGAAATGTATTAACTTCAACTCAAGGAAACGATAAAATCGATAACTACTGTGTGACATACTGCTTTCCTTAACAACATGAAGAATGGTGATTATGATACAAGTACAGTTAGGGGAGAAGAAAAAAAAAGGCCTTTCCACAACATATATCTGCATGCATCCAACTTTTGTTTGAGGATCCAGCTTTTACTTAGCATTAGTAAAGCCTCTTAGCTTTCTCAGTCCAAAGTTTTGGCTTTCGAAATACGTGTATTCCTGAAACTGCCTGTGTATAAATGGAATTTTTGGAAATCATATTGTATGGACACTAGAGAGACCTGTTACTTAAAACCTGTATGAAATCAAATAATCACTCCCAGTAAGTCAACCTTAGAAATTTTGATTTTCTACATCAGGAGTGTTTAAATAGTATCTATACTATTTCATTTAAATTTTCAACCGCCAATAAATAATACACAAACAATTCATGGAGGTGGCCACATCCCCCAAGCTTCCGTGGCCCTTACTGAGGCCTAAAAGTCACATTGCAGAAGCCACAGCATCCTTGACCTTTTAAGGAGTAGAAAAGCTTAAGAAATGGGTGGCCATATGTCCCACTTATACGTATTATCCCAATGAAATTATTAAGTGCCCCTTTTTACCCTTAAAAGTGTACCATTTTGGATGATAAATTTTATGGTTACCCTGCCTAAAATAGACTAAATTCTATTTCCCTCAGGCTGCATTGAGGTTAGGAAATTATTCCATTTTATCCTCACACTTTTGGAATTTAGCTAAAGGCCAATGTACTAATGCTTGCATGGCAGAACACAGCTATTCAGAACAAAAATATGCTAATTATTAGTCAGTATAATATGGCTTCTGGGTGATGGACAGGACCTGACGACATGGGTCAGAATGTCAACCAACCATTCTTCCTCATCTCATTCTCTTTTATCTCTGCTACTAGGCCCGCATTTTGTGGAGAAAAGGAGTGGTGATATTAAAAGAAGGACATCTGTTTCTGTTAGCATTTCCTTTTCTCTTTCCTGGATGTATCTAGGGCTATATCTGCCAAGATATTTAATATGCAAACCACATCCAGCAGTCATTTTATAGAATTGTTACAAAATTCATTACAGAAACCTTCACGTTGGGTAGGTCACCTCAAGAGATCCAGGTTTCAAGGATCTCATTCTTGCCGACGACTCTTGATGGAATTGAGGAGTTTAGGGTCCTCAAGTGCATATTTGTCCTGATATTAGGACCTTTTTAATCTCTGTAGGCCTTGAACTTCCCAGTTCCACACTGTGCATGGTCTAACTGGTCCACTAACTGACTACCAGGTGGTTTAAAATATAAGGGGATGTTTGAGTGAAATTCTACAAGTTGAAGTTGTCTTTTTAGCCCTTTTATTAAAACATTTTTCTCTCCTTCCTTACCCCCCTTCCCTCTCCTGCTGTTTTGTGACTATTCTTTCCTAACTTCACAATTCTTGGTGGAGACAGGAGGCTATAACCTTGCCAACACGGCTCGATGCTGGACATACTTGACCGGGGTCATCCTAGGGAAAACACTATCCTCTGAGATCCCAGATCATGAGGTAAGTAAGGCTCTGACAAGTCCTCTCTTCTTTAAGGGGAAGAGCTGAGTCATTCCACCTAATCAAAATCACGTCCTCACTACTCAATACCGTTTTGTTGAGAGACACTCCAATAACAATAACACACTGTCTTGGCAGAATAGTGGACTCTTGTTCCAAAATATCCAAGACCTTCTGCCTTTTTTACAACAGATCTCAAAGGCCAACCAACTTTAATTTCTCAATTAATTACAGAGACTGTGGGAAGGGGTCACCTGTTCACACAAAGAACTCTTTGGAATATGTGCATATTTTCATCCCCTACCTCAAAAAAGAAGGGGCAGTTTTCTAAACATATAAGCTGGGTTCTCATCCCACAGGCAGTGTGTCACACCTATGTTCTTTGCTGGTTGTCCTGGTCTCTCAATTTTCTTTGACTAATATAAAATTTAAGAAACACATAGTCACCACAAAGACAGGTGTGGTGACTTTTAAGTGATTAGTGGCACACAGAGGCTTGGGAAGGACCATTCAAAATGTGAACCATGTCATTTGAACCCTCACCATTTTCTTTAATCACATGATATGGGCTTTATGTTTTCCAAAGACAAGATGCCTATTCTAGTTTTCCCAAAACAGGTTAATAGAAAGCTCTCTGGGACCTGTGAGTGTGCTGATAATCCTTTACCCAGAAGTGTATCCCTTCTCTTCCTACCTACCTGCACACCTGGCAGGAAGTATGTTATCACAGATCTGGATGTGTAACTGCAGGCCTTAGACTGTGTGACTTTATAATAATGAACCAATACCTGCCTCCCCACTTTCTCAAGCCAATTCCCAAGATATAGAGATGGTGCTTTGGTTATAAAGTTTTGATTCCTCCCCAATGCAGAAGCTGTGCACTTGGGAGCATTATGTTCTTGAAAGTTACTTTTTTTTTTTTTTAATTAGAAACAACTTAAACTAATTTCCTTACAATTTTCTTCTAACCACAGATGACTTATAATATGTATCTCAGGAAAAAAAACCACTCAGTGTGTCTAGAATACAAATAGAAGGCAAACTATAATTTGAGACAATTTGCTGGTGTCAGGGTTAATAGTCCCTTTCCTTGACTTGACTTACCTTTATTCAGTATTTGGAAGCTTTATGAAATATAAAGGTAAGGAGACAAATTACATTTGTGAACACATGTAATTGTTGTTATTGCTGTGAGAATATCTCAGGTTGCATTATAATTTAAAGCACTGAGACTTTAAAAATGGATAAAGTTTTAAACATATAGAAGCCTGAATTGAGACTGTGTTCTGTTCCTAGGAAACAGTGCAAATCCATAGATTCATCTGTCTTAAAAGGTTGATAAATTTTAATAAAGATGATTACTGCATCTGGTAAAGCAATGTGTCTCAATAAGTGTAGGCTTGGCCTTACATATAGGCATGTCCTGTCTTTATTCTGACATATTCTGCCAGATTAAATGAGATATAATGTATGTCACGTGCCTAACACAGTTTTTGGCACATAATAGGCAACTTTGAAATCTAAATTTTCTCTTTTCCCTTTGCATGCTCCTAGCAACTTCTTATAACCAGACATTTATGACTTTGCCATTCATAAATTTCTCCAAACCTGTTTTGAATTCCTTCTATCATATTCTTCTGGTATTAGAGATGTGAGTCATCCAAGAAGGAACAAAGAAAAAAAATTGAAATGACAGTCTTCCAAGTGTAATAAGATAACATTTTCCTGAAAATTGTCAAACATAGACTCCACAGTGTGAAGGCACATATAAATTTTGTGCCACAATACACACTTGCACACAAATATGCTTGTGGTCCTCTGTAACCAGATCAACAAATGGTAGATCAAAAAATATTTATTAGCACCTATTGTGTGCTAGGCACCATGCTAGGTATCTTGGAAGAGGCCAAGACACGAAGACCTTGTCCCCTACCTCAAGCAGCAGGGAAGGTAGGCTGTGTAAGTGATGGGGGAATATGTGGACATACAAATAATTATATTACAGAGCAGAATAGGAACCACAAGACAGTAGGAACAGTGGCTATGGAGATGTGCTTCAAATGTAAACAGAATACAAGGGAGTGTACAGAATCCCCTGCCCTCCCGGAGCTGAAAATATAATTGAGAAATATAGTCACTGACAAGGTCAAGACAGTGCAACAGTCAGCCACAGTCTGGCTGACTCCTTCACTGTCTTTACTTTCAGTCTTGGGCTTTTGTTTTGTCTCTTGGGATAATAATCCCCCCCCCCACTTCCAAATGCCTTTCCCCTACCTCTCTACTATCTTCCTAGGTCCAGCTTCAAGCCCTATGCCTTTAATAATCCCTTACCTAAATATACCAGAACCCTTTCAGCTCTTCCTTCACATTTATTTGTTAAATGTCTCTTCATTCATTTAACAACTATTCCTTGGGCCCCTGCTACTTGCCTAGATTCAGAGATACAAAGACTAACAAGATAGACCCAGTGTCCTCAAAAAAATCTCATCATCTAATAAAGGCAACAGAATAATGTGTTCAAATCCAGGACAGATAAAGAGCATACAGGACATGTTTCATCAAAACTTTGGAAAGAAGGGGGGATATCTGTAATACTTTCAACAATAAAGATAAATTTAAAAAATAAAAATAAAACAAAATATAGCAAATAAAAAATTTTTTGAACTGAGTCTTGGCGGTTGACTGGGAGTTTGCCAGATGAAGAAGTGGGGAGGGCATTCTAAGCAAAGGGAACAGAGATTGGAAAGAACCTGGTGCCTCATGGGACCACTGATTATGTTTCATATAATAGTAGAACATGGGGTTTATGAGAAAGAATGGGAAGAATAAAGGCTTGAATGGAAATTGGAGCAGATAATGAAGACCCTTGAAGGCTACACTAAAGAGCTTCATTTTTTTCCCTGTGAAAACAGATGAGCATTGGTTTTTAGAAAGCTCACTTGATAGAGCATGGAAGTTAGATTGCAAAGGGAGAGACTTGAGAAGGCAAATCTGCTGAGAGGTTCAAGTACACTCCAATAACACTTAATCTACACCATTCATTTGGTCATTTGTATTTTGATTGTTTGCATTCCCCCCTCAATGCCTAGCAGAATGTTAACCACCTACCTAGTTGGAATGAACAATTGAATAAATGAGTGATTGATTAATATGTGTCTCAACATTTGGAAAACTTCTATTTTTAAGATGGAAGAATTGGATGTATAACCTAGCCTTTCTCTGGAAACAGTTTAACCCTAGTAGCAACTATCCATCCTTTGCAAGAATTCCAGGAGGATACCAGCTGTATCCATCATAAATAGATGTATCCATTAGAAAATACTAGATTGCCAAATGAAGGGAAGGGACTTGGGAAGGCAAGCCCAGCACAAATATTAGAAATGATTGGTGGTGAGATTTCAATCATAATTCTCATTAGATGCAAAACTAGTGATGCCATAAAGCCAGTTGTCAGAGAGTTAGTCCCAGCCCAAGAACTGGGAAGCCAGGTTGGCCAGCCAGGCATGGAATAAGGAAGCAATCCCAGCTGGAAGAAGCATTGGCCCATCTGGGAAAGCTGAGAGGAATGGAGCCTGCCCATATGACTGGCCCAGGTGTCTCTACCATAGGAAAATCCCAAAGGTAATATGGGTTCCCATAAAATCATCAGTGCATAGCTAATTTAGTAAATCATCCACACCATGTAATAAGGCTTATGGGCTATTATATCTCAGAATGTTCTGTAATCTAGTAATACTACTTGGGTCTTATGATCTAAAATTAGAATAAGGCAGTTCATGTACTCATATATACATATATGTATACGTATATACAGATATGTCAGCTACATGTATATACCTGAATCATCACGTAGGTTTATAAACAAAATTTAATGAAAAAAAATATTTACTTAGCCAACCACTTTTGATGAACTGTTAGATAAACTATGCCTCGTTCATACAAGGGAATATATGTAGCCATTGAAAAGAATTAAGTTGATTTACATACAAATATATGCTGCTAATGTAAAATAGACTTACAGTGCAATCCGTAGATTATACTGAATCTAGCTTGCTTTGGGGAGAAATAACATTTTAACAATATTTAATCTTTCAATCCATGATTTTGCTATATCTTTTTCATTTACTTAAGTGTTTAATTTCAATTTTTAATTTATACTTTTCAACAAACAGATCATGTACAAATTTTGTTAAAGTTATCCCTAAGTATTTCATTATTTTGATCTGATGTTATTATAAATGGTATTCTTAATCTCAATTTCCAATTGTTTGAATATAGAAGTTGTTAGAATATAGAAGTACAATTGATTTTTTTATATTGATCTTGAATAATGTAACATTACTAAACTCATTAGCACTAGTAGCTTTTTTGTAGATTCTTTAGCATGTTCCATGTATATAAACATGTTATCTGTGAATAAAGAGAGTTTTACTTATTCTTTTATAATCTTCATGCCTTTTATTTCTTTTTCTTGCTTTATTACACTGGTTGGGACCTCCAATGCAATATTGAGAGTGAACATCCTTGTCTTGTTTCCAATCAAAGGGGGAAAGCACTTAATCTTTCACTATGAAGTGTGATTTAGCTGTAGGGTTATTTTTTAAATAAATGCTCTTTGTTAGATTGAGAAAGTTCCCTTCTATTCCTAATTTACTGAGAATTATTCCCACAAATGAGTGTTAGATTTTGTCAAATGCTTTTTCTTTATCTATTGAAATGATCTTATGGTGTCCTCTTATTCTGTTAATATAGTAAATTGCACTAATTATTGCTTTATTTTAATATTGAACTAACCTTGCTTTTCTGGGATAAACCCTACTTGGCCATGGTATGTTATCCTTTTTATATATTGGTGGATTTAATTTGCTGAAATTTTGTCAGGAAATTTTGTGTCTCTGTTGGTGAGGGATGATGACCTGTTGTTTTCTTGAAACGTTTTTGTCTGGTTTTAATATCAGAGCAATGCTGATCTTATAAAATGACTTAGGAAGTATCCCTGCCTCCTCTATTTTAGTATATCTTACTTAAATGTTTGAAAGAATTCACCAGTGAAAACATTCAAGCCTGGAGTTTTCTTCATGGGAAGGTTTTTAATTATGAATTTTATTTCTTTAATAGTTATATGGCTATTCAGATTTTCTTTATCTTCTTACTTCCATGTTGTTAATTTGTCTTCAAGGAATTTGCCAATTCACTCATAGTATTCCCTTACTATTCCTTTAATGTCTGTAGGAGCTATAGTGATATCCAGTCTTTCATTCCTAGTATTGCCAATTTCTGTCTTTTTTCTTGATCAACTTAGCTTGTGGTTTATCAGTTTTATTGAACCGTAGTTGTTGTTTTGGTTTTTTGTTTTTAAGAACCAGCTTTTAGTTTCATGACTTTATTTTTCTCTTTTCTATTCCATTGCTTTACTCATATCTTTGTTATTTCTTTTCTTCTACTTTGTATTGATTTTTAGTTCTTTTTCTAGTTTCTTATGATAGAAACTAAGTTCATTGCTTTTAAACATTTTATGCTATAACTTTTCATCTAAGCACTGCTGTAGCTGCATCCCACAAATTTTGATATGTTGTCATTTTTATTTTGTTCAAAATATTTTCTAGTTTTCTTCTTTGAATGAAAGGTCATTTAGAAGTATGGGTTTACTCTCCAGATATTTTTCTGTTTATATGCATTTTAATTCAATTTTGTTGTGCTCAGATAACATATTTTGCATGATTTCAGTGCTTTTATATTTATTGAAATTTGTTTTATGACCCAGTGTATGATCTGTCTTGGTGAATGTTTCATGTGCAATTTGCAAAGAATGTATATTTTGTTGTTATTGGATAGCATTTTCTATCATTACCAATTAGATCAGGATGGTTAAGAGTATTGTTTATGTATTCTATATCCCTGACTTTCTGTGTGCTTGTTTTGTCAATTATTGAGAGAAATCTCCAAACATGATTTTGGATTGGGCTATTTTTCTTGTTAGTTGTGTCGGTTTGGGCTTCATGTAGTTTTGAAGCTCTGTTATTAGAGGTATACATATTTAGGGTTATTATATGTTCTTGATGAGTTGACCCTTTATTATTATGAAATATACCTCTTTATCTCTGGTAATAGTCTTGTATGAAGTCTACTTTATTTGATTTTAATATTGTCACACCTGTTTTTTATGATTATTATTTGTGGTGTATATCTTTGTCTTTTTACTTTTAACCTATTTGTTGCTTTATATTTAAATTGTTTTTCTTACAGACAGCATATAGTTGGGTCCTGATTTTTTTAATCAATTTTTTACAATCTTTGCCTTTTTGTTGGGGTACCTAGATGACTTACCTTTAAGTAAATTATTTATATGTTTAGGTTTAAATCCATCTTCCTATTTGTTTTCTATTCGTTCCATCTATTCTTTGTTCCTTTCTTTCTATTTTCCTGCCCTCTTTTGAATTAAATAAATATTTTTCAGGATTTCACTTATCTCCTTTATTTGCATATTATCTATAACTTTTTTCTTTTTTGTGTGGTTGCTCTGGGGTTACAGTATGCAGTTTTAACTTATCACAGTCTACCTTCAAATTCTATTACACTTCTTTATGTATAAAACAACACCCTTAATGACATTGTTCTTTCATTTTCCCCCTTTTCTTCCTTTGTGCTATTGTAGTCAGATATTTTATTTTTGCATATGTTATAAACTCCATGATATATTGTTACTGTCGTGCTTTAAAGAATCAATTCTATTTTTTAATTTTAAAGTATTTATTAATTTATTTAAAATAAGAATAATAAATCCAGTACACATTAGCACAAATAACATGCTGTGATTTTTTTTTTTTTTTTGGTATGTGCCCCTAGCAGGAACCGAACCCAAGACTCTCTGGTCTGCAGGCCAACGCTCCAACCACTGAGCCAAACTGGCAAGGGCTAACATGCTGTGATTTTTTTAATGTATTTTCCAAGACAAAAATTAATTTCATGAGAATAACAGTAATTTATATTTGTGCATATATGTAACATCTGGCTTAATAGATGACAGTTGACTTCTTATACCTGCTTCTACATTCAGCATGTTTTGATGTTGTTTTTGTTAGAGTATATGAAGAAAATTAAGCCTCACATGGATATGTAGTTGGAAAAGGGTACAGTATTTTAATAAACTTTTCTGATAATTATAGATATTCTTTGATACTACACAAAAATTCTACAAATGATAGTTTCTTAAAGGTTAATGCTGGTGGAATCTGAAACCATATCGACGAACTTTTTATATACTGTTACATTAAAATTTAGTCATCTTGTACATTGAATGGATACATATTATACATACTGATTTTTGGAAAATATTGGTTCAGTAAGTTATATAAATATTACAAATGTTGAAACATTTTATACAATATTTTTTTAAAAATCACATTAACTGGTATCACCACTGATTTCATTGGAACAAAGCTTAAGCTTTGGGAAGCTGTCAAGCTTACAGTGACAGAATGTTTTTCAAAATTCTAATTTTCACTCAAAAACGTGAATATTGTCATTGGCAACAAATAATATAAATGTTTATCCTAAAGTGATAGGTTTACTTCATTTTTGAGAAAATATCTGCCAAGTACCCAAGTATTTAATCATAGTTTTTCCATCAGTTGTTCTTTCAAGCAAAAATCGTGTTTTGGGAAAAGTGGCTACTTAAGCCACAACTTAATCACAGATGTGCTATTTCTCAAGACAACCACCATAGTATAGTTTATTACAGAAGCAACTTCTGCATAACTCCTATTTTGATGCACAATATTAAATCCAGGGTCAATAATTAAAATTTTTAGTGCTTCACCAAGGACATTGTTAAATAAAATTGTATTTTTTTACTCTGAGTACATGACAGTAAAGAATAAAATAACTGCTGGTGTACTTTGGTGCTACTGCCTTAATTTGTACTGTGGTGCCAGCAGTTTTACCCGACATTGCTTTTGCACCTCCATGAAAATATAAACCAAGTTGCTCCAGGATAAACCATGAAATTCAAACAAGTTATTCAGCATTTTCAGTATTTTAGTACTACTTGTATTTGTTGCCAACCATTCACATAATAAAGGTCTTCTTTAATGATTAGTTAGTGCTGATACCACATGACTACAAGCAAAACAGAAAGTCCAGCCACATTTGTAGACTTGTCTGTCTGTAAAGTGAAAGGACAATTCTGCAAATGAAATAACAACCAAGTCTTCATGTTTAGAGCTAAAGGATTGAATAAACAGGTTACTTCGCCATTGAAAAGAGACAGTACTGTGAGTTATTTTACTAACTTTTCATCCAGTGGGCATCAAGCAACGTCAACTGTCCAAGTCTTTATTGGTCTTTAAACTATTATGTACATTTCTCTGGCTCACGCAGTATAATAACTTATGCATAAGATGCTTCAGTGACTTTTTCATGTCTAGTTTGAAAAGCTCTAACAATTTGGGATTTTGATAAGCTTATCATGTCCACATTTAAAATATTCAGTTTCCCTATAACTATAAATAAGTGATCTGAATGATGCCACCACTTAAATAGCAAGCTCTTTAGAAACTATGAAAATGTCCTGTGCATAAGACACTAGAAGGTAAATAAATGGCATATATAAAGATAGTTTGAATTATATTTTTGTGTCTTACTTGCAATTTCACCCTATGTCTTTGAAGCAAATGTTTTCCTTCCATTAGTCAGAGCCCTCACTGATACTTGTTTCATCTTTTTCAGCTTTTTAAAGATAGATGTTGCAGTTCTGGCTTGGGAAAGCAAGTCTTCTAATCTCCCTTTAGTAAATCAACAATCCATTCTTGTTATGTTTCTATCTAGGTGCAGGTAAAATTCTGGGATTTCAAAAATAATAAAGTTGCAGAGATTAAGTCAGGTATAACTAAGGATACCTCTTCATGTCCCTATTGTGGCTAGGGTGTCCAGGCACAAGTCATGGTGCCAGTACTTTGGAGGAGACAACTAAGAAGCTTAAAGGAAGGGACAAAAGAGAAGACTTAGAACCCAACCAGGCAAGAGGTCTCATGGTAGTGGCATCTGCTTTATGGGC